AGTTCAAATCCTGAGCCTCGTGGCTTGAAATACACACCAGGTGCATGTGTGCCAAAAATACTGACAGGATGGAAAAAGGAGGAGAAGGGATTGCAGTGTGACCATGCCCCATAGAGGGGTGCTTTCTCCCTGTTTTTTTCTTTCTCTCTCTTTCTCTGGTGAGTGCACATTTTCTGTAGCAACCTTTAAAAAGGAGAATAACTAATAAGACCAGGGTTTACCCTAATTTTTTATTTACTTTTATTTGTGATAGAGAACACATGCACACGAGAGAAGGTAAGAGAGAAAAAGACAGACAGACAGAAAGCACTCCCATCAGGCCCAGTCACACCGCGATCCTTTTTCCTACAGTTTCCCATCGTGCCCATCATATCAGGATTCCGACTTGCTCACAGACCCAGTGGGGCTGGGACTGGAACCTGGCCTCATGTGGGATCTGGCTTCTGCACAGCACCTAACTGCTGCACTACAGGCCAACCCTAGGCCACATGCATTACCAGAAAGAGACAAAGAGAGGAAAAGTGAGAAATCACCCCCAAGAGGGGATGGCCGTGCCACAGTGTCTTCTGCATTTTCCTCCTAGGACTTTGGGCATGCATGCACACAGAGCTGGTGTCATTTTCAAGCTGCCAGGTCCGAGACTCAAACCATGGTTGACCATGTGGGAATGCAGCACCTTAACCACTATGCCAACTGTTGGCCCCCAGGTTTAAAACCTATTTTTAATGTTAGAAAGTTTATTTATCCATTATATCAGATAAGAAAAGCAATATAATCATCTAAGTAGATTTTGAATAGTCATTTGATAAAAGTATATTCTATAAGGAAGTCCTAAAAACCTGAGACAGGGGGTCAGGCAGGTGGCGTGGTGGTTAAGAATGCTGGGCTCCCACATGGCCAACTGTGGTTTGAGTTTTGGATCTGGTGGCTTGCTTTCTCACTTTTTTCTCTCTCTCTTTATCTCTCTTTGTCCCTCTCTGGCCAAATTTTAAAAATAATAATAATAAGTAAGTAAGTAAAGTTAAAGTTAAATAATTCTAAATATAAAAAGAACTGAGGTAGGAAGATCCTTCCTGACTGTGAATATTTATAAAGGAAGAAAACATATTTAAAACCAATAGAATATTTAACTTTTCAAACATTAGAGGTAGTCTCATTAAAAGCAGAAGGTGGTTGCCTTTAGCAACATTAATAATGCACATTGTTATGGAAGTTCAGCCATCAAAGTAATTACCTACATAAAACAGGAATAAGGTCCACAGCTCTTAGAAAGAGGAGGCAAAACTTTTATTAATAATTTGCAGACCACATGACTACTAGAAAATGCAAGATTATACATTTTTTTAAAAACTGTCATTTAGAAAATACAGCAAAGAGGTTTATTAGATAGCACATGAAATTCCTGATGCTAGTAACAGCCAGTTACAAAACGTAACAGGAAAAGCATTTCTTTCACAATTTCAGCAAACAAATGTGTATTTGAAGTAACCGTAACAAGAAGCATAGATAACCTATTATCATAAAGCTACCAAAACATCCAGAAGGTATGAATAAATGGGAAAATAAACACATTTCCAAATGTGAAATCTAAATATCCTAACAGTGTCAGTTCTCCCAGGTTAATTTGTAGATTTCATATAATCATTATCAAAGATACAACACATTTCGGGGAGGACAGGACTTTAAACAGTGTTTAACCTCATAAATACAAACATACAGCACATGCATACATAAATTGTTAAGAGTTCATTTTTTGAGAATTATTTTATTTAACTTAATTTATTCTTTTTCTTTACATTTTTTCTTATTTATTTACATTTAATCCTGTCTTTACAGTGTACAGCATTTCTTTTTTCAGCATGAATACCATGCATGTGTGTCAGTCAAGACAAAGATATTACTACATATATTATCAGCAGCAAATAGCTTCTCATTTTGGGTCAATTAAACATACTTTTACTTGTTTCTTACTCTCCTTCCCCCCCTTCCATACCGAACTTTCTTTACCTCACATTTTATTGATTCGCAAAAGATCTTAAACTAAAAATATGGACAAAGCTAGAATCTAGTTGCAAGTGCACTGTAATTTTCTTCTTTCTCTCTCCACTTCTCCTTTTACTATTAAAAAAAAAATTGCTGAACCTATCAGCATCTCAAAAGAAAACCAAAATCCTTAAATCTGGAAGACAAATAAAAGAAGAAAATCAGTAATGTTTTAGACAAATATCATAGAATTCTATTTCACCAGTTCAGTCCCTCTTTTGTTGACTTGTAGTGTTACTGTGATCTGATCTTATTATTTTAATTTGACCAGAAAGTGAGAGAGGGAGAAAGAGAGAGAGTGAGAAAGCAAGAAAGCAAGCTGCCAGGTCAGGGACTCGAACTGTGGTTGGCCATATGGGAGTCCAGCACCTTTAACCACCATGCCACCTGCCGGTCCCGTGTTCATTTTTTTAAAAAGAGGTATAGGGGGCCATACCGTGGTACAGTAGTAAAATGCAACACTCTATGGAACTGACCCACATGGGAAGGTTCCCGGTTCATGGCTGGAGACATCCCTGAATATGCCAGGCATGTTTATGCCCAGGATCCAGGGTTGGCTGAAGCTGAAAGTGGATCACAACATCAAGACCCCATTGGAGGTGCTGTCTCTTTGTCTTTCTGTCTGTCTCACTTATTGAGAAAATACACTTTTTTAAAAAAGATATAGTCATGGTTGTTATACACATATAAAATGAACATGTGTTGAAAATTTTATTTGAAATTAATTAATGGAAAATACAAACTGTCACACATGCACAGGTATGTAAGTGCTGAAATGAATTCATAACTAAGTTTTAAACAGGTCAATAATCAATTGCATTCCACTCAACACAATTAATTTACATTTCATTGGGCAAATATCATTTGCACTATTATCAACTTTTACAACTTACAGAGCAAAAAGTAGCTCAAAGACAATGGGAAATAACTCAAATAGCTAAACAGACTACTCAGTAATCTCTTTTTTTCTGCTTGCTTTCCATTTCAAAATTCTACACAACTTTTTTGCAGATAAATGCAAAATAACAAAATCTTTTTTTTTTTTTTTGAGAGAGGTTTTCACTATAGGGCATGTGCACTCGCCAGACATAAAGACAGAAAGCGAGAAATCATCCCCCAGGGGGGATGGTCATGCCACAATCCCTTCTCCTCCATTCTCCTCTTGGGATCTTGGGCACGCATGCACATGCGCCCGGTGTGAGTTCTAAGCCACCAGGTCCAGGACGCGAACCGTGGTTGACTATGTGGGAATCCAGCGACATAGCCTTTACGCTAACTTCTGGTTCCCCAAAATAACAAAATTTTGATAACCTCAATTTGCAATCAAAAATTTTTAGAGAGATTTTTTGCTATAGGCACATGTGCTTGCTAAAGAAACAGAGAGAGAAAGAGAGATAGAAAGCAAGAAATTATTCCCCAAGGGTAATGGCTACACTGCAATCCCTTCTCCTCCATTTTCCTCTCAGGATCTTAGACACACACGCACATGCGCCTGGCATGAGCTTTCAGCCACTGGGTCCAGGACTCAGACCATGGGCAACTACGTGGGAGTCCAGCAATGTAACCATTATGCCATCTACTGGTCCCACAAATTATTTTTAAATTGTTAAAGCCTACTGTTCTACTTTGTAATATTAAAAATTTAAATCATCCTAAAAGAGAATCAAGTAAGTGAGTGACTAGATAAATTTGTAATTTACTCATGTTCTAAAATTAAATACAATTCTTTATACAATCTAAAACACAATACAATCCTTTAAACTCATTATTTCAAAGAATATTTCATTGCATTTAGAAATGCTATCAAACTGTTAAGTGAAAAATGTAGGCTAAAGATTGTTTAGTGATTTTTTTTTTTTAAGGTTTTTGCTTTTGGACACATGTGTTTGCTGGAGAGGAGAGTCAGAGAGGCAGTGGAGGGAAAGTCAGAAATCATCCCCTGAGGGGGATGGCCACACCACAATCTTTTCTCCTCCATTCTCTGAAATTTGGGGCACATACACCTGGCGTGAGTTTCAAGCCTCTGGGTCTAGGCCTCAAATCACGATTGGCCATATGGGAATCCAGGCTACCTGCTGGCCCTTAAATTTGTCCTGAATTAAAAACAACAACAACAAAAAGAAAACCAAAAACATAAAATGAAAAGATACTGACATAAAAAATATACCTCAACAATGGATATTTCTACAAAGTAAAATTCTGAGATTCTTTTTCTTTATTCTTTTACTAAATTGTCAGAAAAGTCATGATATACTTTTTCTGTTTTTCTATGCAAAAGTGCATCATGATTTTTCCAACAACCTAATATTTCTCCTTTGTTCTTTTTACTGAGTTTCCTTTCTTGTTACCTTTTTAAGTTTATTACTTCCACAAGTGAGCAAGAAGGCCGGGGAGACAGCATCCCTGATGACACCATGCACCCCCAGCATCTGTCCGTCTGGACTACGGGCACGTGCATGCCTCCTGTACTGTGGGAGATCTCTGTTGCAAATCAGAACTTTCCCATGTGGGTCGGCCTCACAAAGAATCGTGTTTTATGGCTGTGCCACCACCTGGGACCCTCTTTCCACTTTTTATTGTGCATCTCCTCCTTTGGTACCTTCTTTCTTTGAGAATCCTTTCATTTGCCAAATCTTAGGACATAGAACAAGGAGATAGCAACTCACAGGTCAGTGGAGGTGTGGAGACAAATTACTGTCTATTACTGTTTCTCCACCACTGGACCTGGAACTGCCCTGGCAGCATAAGAAACCCTTCCTGTACTCCTGTTCTACTAGGGGTAGGGCAAACCCTTAAAATCCTGTGTTTAAATGAAAACATCCCATTTGTCCACCAGAGGCCCAGGTTCAGCCAGCTCCCTGTTCAATCATTGTTCTTTATTTCCTCGGGTTAAGACGGGTGAGGTGCTCTGGTGTGTTTTCATACATGTGGAAAAACTGTGTTTTCTTTTTCTGCAGAACCTAAAGGAGCCGGTGCTGGTGGCGCTGGTGGGGGCTTTGGTGGAGGTGGCAGTGGTGGCGGTGGCAGTGGCAGCAGTGGTGGAAGTTTTGGAGGCGGTGGCCCCCCAGGTTTGGGAGGACTGTTCCAGGCTAGAATGCCGAAGCTGAGACCCACGGCCAACAGGGATAACGGTGAGGAGAGGTTCCTTCTCTCTGAGTCACTGGAGCTCAGGCTGTTTGGAGGTTTGATGTTCCCACTGCGGCTTTGCACCCTTTAAGACATTGTTTGGAATGTTGCCACTGTTTTTTACAAGAGAAATTCTATTCAACTTTTAAAAAATTATTCATAGGGATCGAATAGTTCTATAGAGCTATGAAATACTTGCCCAGTGTCCTTGGGGGCAACCCATACATTTTTGTGCTTCCCTAAAGGGTAAGCTCAAGGGGGCCAGCAGGGGGCATAGTGGTTGGGGCACTGGACTCTCATATGGCCGTCTACAGTTTGAGTCCTGGACCTGGCAGCTTGCTTTCAAACTCTCTCTCTCTCTCTTTGTCTCTCCCTCTTTCTCTGTGTCTCTCTAGTCAAACTGAAGAATAATAATAACAAATAAAATGAAATAAATAATTCATTAAAAAAAAAAAAGGGTGAGATCCAGTGGGAAGAAAGGGAAGGACCAAATAGGACTTGCCACTCCCGGAAGTTCAACCCAGGGACCAGGCAAATTCAGTTTGCTTTGTGCAACAGCCTGACACAGCTGTCTGGGACAGTAAATAGTCATGATCACTTTCCAAACACACTGTGGGGCACATGGCCTGGAACGTAATTACAAAACTCACGAATCAGTGTTTTGCATGACGGATGTGTGAAATCTCAGAAGTGTCCTCTCCAGGAGCCATGGAAATGAATCCTACAGGATTATCCCTGAATCCGATGGCCAAGGAGGTTGAACTTGGTCAGGCCTAGGTAAAAACCTTGCAGAGTTCATGAGGCACTCTCCTCACTACTACAGAAGTTCAAGAAGTTTACCATAAATTTTTTTTGGCAATGTTTATTATTTTTAAAATAAACTTATTTCTAATTATATCATCTTTTAAAATAGCCTCTGGGAAAGTATGAAATTTTTGTGTTCATGTGAAGATAAGAGTCACAGAAGCCTCAGAGATAGCTGACCGAAAAAAGTAGATGGTCAAAATCTAGAAAGAGACTCGATAACAGAAGAGATTTGATGCAGTCTGCATTTAAATTTATTTTTAATTTGATTCATTATATTTTTTTAGTTTTCTTCTGGAGTACACTCGCTCTGCATGCACTCGCCAGAGAGAGACAGAGAAAGAGAGAGGGGAAGTGAGAAAGCACTCCCTAGGGCAGATGAATACATCTCAGTCCCTTCTTCTCCATTGGCCTCGCAAGATTTGGGACATCCGTGCCCATGAGCCCAGCTTGTTTTTCAACCCACCAGGCCATGTACAGACTCAAACTGTACAGTCAGCCATGTGGGATCCAGCTGCCTTAACCACCACGCCACTGACTGAACCTAAATTTATTTATTTAAAACTCACCAAAAGGATTTTTGAGGTAGCTGACAAATGTATACATTCAGGACTTTAACAATAGGTGAAGAAATTAAGGCAAAAGACAAAAGTAAAATAATAAAATGAAGATGAAATTCAGAGCTCAAAAGATGTGCTCCATGTGTTAAGGTGGATGGCAAGTGTAGCTTTAATCCAAAATTAGAAGATATAGACTTATCACAAATTGGCGACAGAATTAAACCACTTAGGCCCAGCCACGGTGACGTGCAGAAAGTGCCACCACCTGTATTTTTCTCACCTTTTCTTGAGCATTTCTTTTCAGAGGGACGAGGTTAGCCATTGCATATGGAGAACTTACATTGTTATAACTGATTTTTTCACCTAAGATTGCTGAATTATTTTTAAAACAGGAAAAGTATAAGGGCCAGGAGACGGGATAAAGGAAAACCCTTAACACGAATCCCATCTACCTGTGCCATCTTGTCCTCCTCACTGATGGGGATCTCCAGGACTCTCCTGGTTTTCTCCTGGTTCTCATCCATACCTAATGCTAAGAAATCTTTCCAAAAATCCTTTTAAAAGCTGATAGGTTGTAGAACCTGGGACCAGAAGGTAAGTAGAGAGCTGAGTTCTATTCCTCTGCCTCCAGAAAGAACTACCCCAATCTATGGCAGTGAGTTACCCACACCGTATGGCATTCTGGGATGGGACGACACTCTAGCCTTCTCACTTCTTGAAACTGTATGTGTCTCTTCCTGTTCTCCAGATTCTGGAGGAAACCGGCCACCAATTTTGCCACCAGGAGGAAGATCCATGGCTGCCAAACCTTTTTCACCTCCAAGTGGCCCAGGGAGGTTTCCTGGGCCTTCTCCTGGCCACAGAAGTGGTCCCCCAGAGCCACAGAGGAACCGAATGCCGCCCCCAAGGCCCGACGTGGGCTCAAAGCCCGACAGCATCCCCCCTCCTGTACCTAACACACCCAGACCCATCCAATGAAGTCTGCACAACCGGGGGTCCCCGCCAGTGCCTGGGGCCCCCAGACAGCCTGCGCCTGGGCCTACTCCTCCCCCTTTCCCAGGAAACCGAGGTGCTGCCTTTGGAGGAGGCTCCATTCGCCAGACACCCTCAGGCTCTTCCTCGCCCTTCTCCAACAGGCCACCACTGCCCCCAACCCCTGGCAGAGCCTTGGACGACAAGCCACCCCCTCCACCTCCTCCAGTGGGCAACAGGCCCTCCATCCACAGGGAAGGAGCTCCACCTCCTCCCCCGCAGAACAACAAGCCTCCGGTGCCTTCCACCCCAAGGCCTTCGCCCTCTTCACAGGCCCCACCTCCACCACCACCACCCAGCAGGCCCGGCCCTCCACCCCTGCCTCCAGGTTCCAGTGGCAATGATGAAATCCCAAGACTCCCACAGCGGAATTTGTCCCTCACTTCGTCTGCACCTCCCTTACCTTCGCCAGGACGCTCAGGCCCTCTTCCTCCCCCACCCAGTGAGAGACCCCCGCCTCCAGTGAGGGACCCACCAGGCAGATCAGGTATGGCAAACAGGGGTGAGTGACTCTAAGGGACTATAGGCACACAAAAGTAGAAGTATACTCACACCGCTTCGTGCTTTTAAGTGACCATTGACGCATATGATTTCAACCTGACCTCATGTGAGCCTCGCTGGAAAGTGGGACCAAGGTTGCTGTTGGTGTTTTAGAGATAAGGAGACTGAGTACCCAATAAACCTCTCAAAAAAAAAAAAAAAAAGAAGCTACCTGGGGAGCTTTAAACCCCAGGTGAGCCTCATCCCCATCGCAAGGTTTCTGGTATAATTGACCTGGGGGGCAGACCGAGTATCGGGATATTGGAAAGCTCTTCAGTGATTGTAATGTGCAGCAGAGTCTGAGAACTGCTCCTCCAAACTGCTATGCCATGAATAATTGACTAAAAATATGAAGCCATCGATGCATTCAATCCAGCGCCTAGACAAAGTAGCATCTCATTAAGTATTCTTCAGTGAATAAATGAGAACAGTAGTCATTTGAATGAAATACAGCCTTTTCCTTCTCATTTGGCCTCTACAGATTTTCCCCAAAGCAAGTGAGGACTTTCTATAGGCTTTTCCAAATGGATGAACCCATAGATTAAATCTTCCCCAAAATATGATGGGTAGTGACATAAAATGTCTGTTGTTTCCTTTGATTACATAAGCCATACTTATTTATTACAGATATATAGGAAATTATATCCAAAATTATCACTGATAACATTTTTTATGTACCCATAGTCTTTTTGTGGGGGAGGGTATAGGTTTTTGCTTTAGGGCATGTGCGTTTGCTGGACAGAGACAGAGACAGTAAGAGGGAAAGTAAGAAATCACCTCTCAGGGGGATGGTCACTCTGCAATCCCTTCTCCTCCATTCTCCTCCCGGGATCTTGGGCACACACGTACATTCACCTGGCATGAGTTTCAAGCCACCAGGTCCAGGACTCAAACTACAGACAGCAATGTGGGAGTCCAACGACATAACCTCTATACCAACTGCTGGGCCTCCTTTCAGTCTTGTATGTATATAAAGGGGCCAGCAAGTGGCATGATGATAATGGTGCTGGACTCCCACATAGCCGACTGTGGTTTGAGTCCCAGACAGGGTGGCTTGAAAATAACACCAGGTGTGTGTACATGAGTGCCCAAAGTCCCAAGAGAAGAATGGAAGAGAAGGGATTGGAGTGTGACCATCCCCCTAAGGGGTGATTTCTCACTTTTCCTTTCACTGTTTCTCTCTGTCTCACTCCAATGAACATGTATGCCCTGTTGTGGGGGGGGTCCCATGTGGGGGGGAAAAAACTTAAAAAAGAAAAGAATGAGTACTAATTAGCTAAATGGGAGCTTTAAACAATATATTTTTTAAGAAGAATGTATATACAGTATATACATTTTTACAAAACCAGTATCATGGGGCCAGCAGATGGCATAACGGTCATGTCACTGGACATCCACATGGCTGACTGCAGTTTGAGTCCCAGACCCAGCAGCTTAAAACTCACATTGGGTGCGTGTGAGTGCATGCCCAAGATCCCGAGAGGAGAGTGGAGGAGAAGGGATTGCCATGTGGTCATACCTCCTGAAGCACAATTTCTCACTTTCTGTCTCTCTGTCTCTCTGTCTCTCCAGAGAGTGCACGTGCTCTATAGTAAAAATCTCTCTTAATAAAAAAACAACAGTATTGGGACCAGCTGATGGTGTAATGGTTATGTCATTGGACTCCCATGTAGTTTACTGAGTTCAAGTCCCAGACCCGGTGGCTTAAAACTCATGCTGGGCTTGTGCGCGTGCCTGACCAAAATCCCGAGAGGAGACTGGAGGAGAAAGGATCACCCCCCAGGGGGTGATTTCTCGCTTTCTGTCTCTCTCTTTCTCTGGCAAGTGCATGTGTCCTATAGCAAAACTCCATCTAAAAAAAAAAAGAATTAAAAATAGAAAAACTAGTATTATACTACAAATACTATTCAGTCTTCTGCTTTTTATTTAAAAATCACACTAACATTTTCATATGATTAACTATTTTGCTATAATGCAATCTTGAATGATTTCATAATGTTAGATTTTACAGATGTGCTCTGATTTATTTAATCAATTCTCCCTTGGGTCACGTGGGCTATCTCTAGATTTTGCCATTACAGGTTTGTGGTGATATACCCTCGTAGCAAAGGATGTGTGCACGTCTCTGTAACTCCTCCAGATGAATTCCTAGCAATTTCTAGATCAGTAGGTGCGCATAGTAAACTATGGATTTTGTAGGGACTGCCAAGTTACCTTCCAGAAAATTCCTACCCTTTCGTATTCCCACAGGAACATATGAGAGGTCATTCTTGTGTAAGATATGGTTTGGCTTCATTGTTAGGAGAGTGGGCTTTAGCATGTGACAGTTTTGGAGCCAACTCTTGGCTCCTCCACTCATTAGCCTCCTTTCTAGCTTTCTAAGCTGTCAGAGCCTCTGAGGACTTGTCTTTGTCCTCTGCCCCTCTCAGGGTTGGGTCAGGATTAAATGAGACAATTGCATATCATGGTGGTTATATTTCCTGGCATATAGTTAAAATCAATAAATGATCATTTTAATTATTACTCTGCCAACAGGAAATGAAAATCTGTTCTATGTTCTATCATGCTGGCCTGGGTTTAAAGCAGGAAGCCACAAAATTGGAAAGTTAGGAACACTAACAGTTACTTTAAAAGAGAGAGAAAGAGAGAAAAACAGAGAAAGACAGGTGCTAGCAGGTGGCACAGTGGTTAAGGCACTAGACTCCCACGTGGCTGACTGTGGTTCAAGCCCTGGAGCTGACAGCTTGAAAATAATGCTGGGTGCCTATGTGTGCTTGCCCAAAATGCTCAGAGGAGAGTTGGGGAGGAGGAGTTGCAGAGTGGCCATCACCCTGGGGGGATATTTCTCACTTTCCCTCTCTCTGTCTGTCTCTGGTGAGCACATATACCCTATGGCAAAAACCTTAAAGAGCGAGCGAGAAGAGACAAAGTCCATCAAATTACATAGCACTAGGACCCATAATATTAGAAGTTGAGTTTACTCAGCTTTATTGGAGTATTACCAGTAAAGTTAAACCCACAATCTGCAAGATACCTTTCCTGTAATAAATCAATTCTTGCTGCCTACCAGCAATGACAAACAGATGGGGAGATAAGTCCACTGTGCAAGATGAGGCTGAAGGCTCCCTGAGAGGTTGCCTAGAGCTGGGCAGGGCCTCCACTTCCATCAAGGATCTGAGTCAAGGCTTTCTGTCTGGGTCTTCTGTATCTGCAGTGGTGGGTTGTTCACTGTGAGGTCTTCGTTAGATTCCGAGTTTACCATTAACAGGATATTTATATTTATAGCACCATGAGACATTGTATTTACAAAAAATGTTGGCATCTTACAAATGGAACACACTGGTCAGGATCAGGAATACTCAGGCCACTGACTTAGATGAGAAAATGTTCAAGTTTTGTTTTGGTTTTTAAATTTACTCACTATCCAAATAGCCTCCACTATTGAAATGTAGGAAAAGTAAGATAGGTTTCTTTTGTATTACCAAAAGGATGAATTTACTTTGAATTTTTTTCTAGGAATATAAAGCTTTTTACTGGGGTTAGCTGGTGGTGTGGTGGTTAGGGTGTCTCGGTCTTACGTGGCCAACTATACAGTTTGAGTCCTAGACTCAGTGACTTGAAGGGGGAAAAAAACAAACAAACAAAATACACACCAGATACATGTCTTCTCACACACACACACACACAAAAAAAAACAAAAACAAAAACAAAACCCTTTTTGCTTATACCATACCACTGCATTTTTAAAAATGGTTTTAAAAACTTATATAATTTTTATTTATTTGTTTACTTTGTGTGTGTGCGATAGCATGTGTGCACACGAAGAGAAAAAGATAAATATCCCCTCCCCCAATAGATTCTTGTCATGCCACCATCCACTCCTGCAATACCTCCAGCTCCTCAGGATCTTGGGCACCTGCATGCACACCCGGTGTATTTCAGGTCAACCTGGATGTGAACCACGATTGTCATGGGGCTTCCAGCACTGTAGTCCAGCATGCTACCGACTGTGCTGGTATTGTTGGCAGCAGTTCTATGAGACAAGTACAAGTGACAATCTGACCCTCTTTTATAGAAAGAGAATCAAGTTCCTTTGGGTACCAGCTTGCTCAGGGTTGGAACCCACACTGGTGTTTATAGCCATGCACATTGGTTAGCTAGCTGTCACTTCCTGCTTCATCTACCTCCCTGAGAGGGAGAACCAGAACTCCTCCTGTTCTCCAGGTGTCTGGTGTTGGGTTTCCTGGGTCTGCTCTGCCTGGGAACCGACCACATGCATCACAGAAACGCCCGTGTCTTTAGCTACACTACTGTGCTTAGTTTAAACTTGGTTCTTCTGAAGACCTGAAGTAACTACATAACTGTTTTATTCTTCCTTTTTAATTCTTTCATCATGGCCTGGTAAACAGTTCAATAGCTCTTCAAAAGGATTATAAAATGTTATTTAAATGAAATGGTTGTCAGTATAATCACCTGTCTTCAATTTCACTGCATTATCTCTGTTCCCCATACAACTGAAAGCCAAAACAGCCATTTAGCTATCAATGTGCAATCATTGTACAGATATGTGCATTTTTGTGTTCGTATGTTCCTACGCAATTCTTAGCTAAATCTCCTAGAAAGTCTCCACCATTTCTGTGTATTTCTTAATTAAATGGCATGTATCCAGCAGGCACTGAATCGCCGATGACCACCATAATAGTAATGTGGAATGGAAGGCATTGCACTAAATCTCTTTTCTTCTGCCCCAGGTCCCCTCCCACCACCTCCTCCAATAAGCAGAAATGGCAGCACGACCCGGGCCCTGCCTGCCACCCCTCAGTTGCCGTCCAGAAGTGGAATAGATAGCCCCAGGAGTGGGCCCAGGCCTCCTCTTCCTCCTGACAGGCCTGGGGCTGGGGCACCTCCCCCACCTCCACCATCAACATCAATTAGAAATGGCTTCCAAGATTCTTCATGTGAAGGTGAGGTGTGGGCCTAGCTCCTTAGGCTGTATGGCAGCGATTGAACAACAAGTTTCCTTGTGTATGTCATTTGGGGTTTTTTTGGTTAACATTTCATTTTCACAGTCATTATCACACTGTATTGCATGACCTAACTAAGCATTTTAGGGCCCATCATGATTCCAAGTTAAAAAGAGTAATCCACCTCCTACCCTTTCCAAAAGGTAGTTTATTTTTCTCTGACCTGTTTCTTGTTCTTGAGTCTCATTTTGGTTAACATTGCAGAGATTCCAGAATTCTGAAAAGAACCATTTTTGTAGCTTACCTTCCTATTATCTACACTTCTGAATAGTTTACCATTGGGTGAGTGGCCCAAGGCCTGCAGGCATTTAGCTGCTGCCCTCTGCCATTGTTATCAGAGTGGCCCTATTTACGTGAGGGCCCACTGGTGGGAAGAAAGATGGCCCACGCCTCAGTGCTCGGCTCCTGAGGGGGACTGGCTGGATTCTATCACCAAAGGTAAAGTCACTTTGCTCTGATTTGCAGGCCAATATATTTTATTGCTAGGTGACATTCGTAGCACTTCCAGCATTTCTGTAGACGTGTAGACATGAAACTCGAACTGATTCCTGCAGCTCTGTTTGCTGTTATACTTAGCATTACGTCAGTCTTCACAGCAGATTGTCAGTTACTGAAGGAACTGTTTGTCTCTCCCCAGATGAGTGGGAAAGCAGATTCTACTTCCATCCGATTTCTGATTTGCCACCTCCAGAACCATATGTACCAACGACCAAAACTTATCCCAGTAAATTGGCAAGAAATGAAAGCCGAAGTGAGTATTTCTGTCGGTGTTTTGGGAAGATTCATAGTCGACTAGCCTGAGTTATGCTGGGTTTAATAGCAAATCTAAGCCTCTTGATGGGAGTGGGATAGAAAACCACATTTGAAATCATTTCACTTCTGTAAACTCCCTTTCCACACAGACGAAGGAACATGGAGATATCAAGAATGCAGGGAACAGCAGTTGGCATAATGGCTATGGCGCTGAACTCCCATGTAGTTGACTGTGGTTCAAGTCCCGGACTTGGTGACTTAAACTCATGCTGGGCACATGTGCGTACATGCCCAAGATCACGAGAGGAGAATGGAGGAGAAGGGATTGTAGTGTGGCCATCCCCCCTGGGGGGTGATTTCTCGCTTTCTGTCTCTGTCTCTCTTTGTCTTTCTGGCAAGCGCACGCGCCCTATAGCAAAAAAAAAAAAAAAACCCTTCCAAAAAAAAAAATTGAATGCATGTGAATGTGTCATTACAAGCTCAAAGTGCCTTGGGTTTGCTAGTGTTACATTTTATTATCTTGCTTCTTTGAACAGTCTTCCTCCATTCTGGTTTTTCTGAGACAGCACAAGTAGAGACATCTTCTGTTCCTGCTAGTTTCCAGACTGGCAAAATGTCTTATTAATTATAACAAAAACTCATTGTAACTGCCTTGATCTTTTAATTGTATTATAGTCAGAGCTTCACTGACCACTACATGAAAATTTTAAGTGTATCCATAATGTCTCCTCATAACAAAATGGTTATTTTTATTTAACTAGATGCTCTTCCAATATTCATACAATTCTGACTTTTTTATATAATTATAATTTTCATAGAGTACAGTTTTGTGCTGGTATTTTGGGAACAGTTTTTCAGTAGGTTTCCATAACATTGCTTAGAAAGCACTTCCCCTTTTTATTACATGATTTTTATCTCTCAGGAGTCCATCAAGTCGGCATACAATAATTTATCATTATTGGACATTTAGATTGTTTCCATTTTTTAAATTAATGTATGTAATGCTACCACAATGAAGTAAATTACTTTTCTTCTATTGAAGGAGAAATGTGAACAAGAATAGAAAGTAGATAGATAGGAATGTCACTACAGTAAAAGTATGGACTATAAAAGAATTAGTATAAAATATGCATATATGTATGGGGTTTTTTTGAAAGGTTTTTGCTATAGGGCACGCGCACTCGCCAGAAATACAGAGACAGAAAGCAAGAAATCACCCCCCCGGGGGGGGGAATGTGTGTAGCCATACCGCAATCCCTTCTCCTCCATTCTCCTCTTGGGATCCTGGGCACGCACGCACACGCACTCGGCGTGAGTTTAAGCCACTGGGCCTGGGACTCAAACCGCGATCGACTCCATGGCAGTCCAGCAACATAGCCATTACGCCAACTGCTGGTCCCTATATATTTATATATATCCTAAACAGCAATATGTACAGGAAAAGTTTGAGCAAGTCAAAAAACTGTCACAACGGGACAAGCAGATGGTGTAATGGTTATATCACTAGACTCCTACGTTTGGGAGTCTCAAACCAGTCTACCATGGTTTGAAACTCAGACCACATGGCTTAAAACTCATAGGGGGCATGTTTGCATGTGTGCCCAAAATCCCAAGAGGAGAATGGAGAAGGGATTGCAGCATGGCCATCCCCAGGGGATGATTTCTCACTTTCTGTTTCTCTGGTGATCACACATACCTTATGGTAAAAATCTCTTGCTAAAAAAGAATCTGTCACAACGTCCCTAGCCATGTCCTTACACCCTAGCAGAGTGTCTCAACATATTCAGAGCCTATTGGTTCTTTCTTTCCACAGAGTTTAAATAAGTTTTGATTGACTGGTTCCCACCATTGGCTGAAGTTAAGATTGATTAGAAGCAAAGTCACTGGCATAAGGGAGAAGCAATAGATGACAGGCTCAAGTGAAAGCAGAGACAGGGACACAGAATTGTGCTATGCATTACAGCATGGGACAGCACCAGCTGCTCCTACTGGCTTAAATTTCTATCGTGTTACGTTAATTGAGTCAGGTTGTGCATTGTGCCTCTGTAGAAGTTTACAGAAGTTAGAAGATATTTTAGGAAGATTTACATGAATAAGTGTCAAAAGTAAATAAAATATTGTTTCTTGAAAAGAAAAATGTAATTTCTGGAAAATTTACTTATTCAGAATTCTGCATTTATAGACAATACCTAATAAAAATATTTAACTTGGGGCTAGCCATTGGCATGGAAATTAAGGTCCTGGATCCCACATAGCTTCACAGTTCAAGTCCTGGACCCAGGTGGATAGAGAATCATGCCAGGCACCTGTGCATGCATGCCCAAAATCCTGAGAGAAGAGATTGTGGCATATCCATCCCCACTGGGAAGCAATTTCCCACTCCCCACACCCCATCTCTCTATGGCAAGCACACACACCCTATAGCAAAAACTATACACACACACACACACACACACACACACACACACATATAATTATCATACAAGAGTTGGTAGTTGAAATTTTTGATGAAAAGTAAGTGTTCACATGGAACAAATATCTTTGAATGTTGTATATATGTTTATGAGTGTTTGCGTGTGTGTTTTCTTCATATTCTTATCAGACAGGGCTTCTGTCTGGTTTCCTTAATATGATCACTTTAAAAAGTTGTTCGTATAGACTGCAAATATTTTTCCTGACTTATCATCAAATTTTTAATCTAATTATTCGTATTCTTAAATCAGTAACAGAATTGTCATCCCCATATCTTCTAGGTTTTTTATTTGATATTTGAATATATTACCATATAAGACTCAAGTAAGCAACTCGAGGAATAGAACTATATCTTACTTGCTATTGCTTCTTCTTTGAGTAGCACAGAGCTTGAAACAGAGTGAACACTTAAAAATTTGTTTTTAATTAATGGGCTAATTTCCATTGCCCTTCCCAAAACTTAATGTAGATTTGATTTAAATATTTCCAGCACTGGGCATGTTTAGTATTTTATTAGGATAATAGATCATCTATCTAACAAAAATGAATAAGGGGAGCAGCAGTTGGCATGGTGATTAAGGCACTGGGCTCCCACATGGCCGACCATGGTTCAAGTCCTGGACCTGGCATCTTGCTTTCTCTCTATCTCTCTGTCTCTCGGGTGAGCACACATGCCTGGAAACAAATTAAAAAAATAATAATGATAAACAAAATTAAATAAATAATTCTTCATTTAAAGATGAATAAGGTACTTTTCAATACCAAGTTTTATTCTGCTCCTGTGACTGGCCAAGCCTCCAAGCCTACAGCCAGGTAAAGCCCAGACAACCCTAGCAGTGTAGAGTATACTTTGGGTACTCTTTAATTACAGCATTGAACAAAGCCAGTCTTCATTTTGCTTCTTGCATTTGTGGTGTGTCAGTTGATGGTCAAGGCTCCGTAACAGATGGCTGGTTTACATTCAGATAAATATTCCCTCAAACAGCTGCCTAGGAAGGTGGTGAGAAGAGGCAGCAAGGTCATGGACTGTCAGTGTTTTTCTCTGTTCCTGCTCAGGGATTTGGTTCTGTCTCAGAAATCCCTAGGTGGGTAGTAGGGCTGCTATCGAAGTGCTTGCTGAGGACTCTGCTGGTACCAGCCCACTAAGAGTCAGAATGGTGGCCATAGCAGACCCACATAATTGACATGTGCCCAGGTAGACCTGCTCATGGCATCTGAGCACCTGACTTCATGCCTAACATCTGTTACACTCTCAAATGGTGTTTGGATGTGAAATGAATTTTTTTTAATGTGAATGGGTTTTAAACCTGATTACACTGCACTGTTAGCCATGTATAGCTTTTTAAAAAAATCAACAGAGCAAAAAGTCAACCCATGAATGGGAAAAAAAATTGGAAATCATATACCTAATAGATTAATATTCAGAATATATAAAAAAATTCCTACAATTCAATAATAAAAAAACAAGCAACCCAATTTTGAAAAATGGATTGAATACTTAAATAGGCATTTCTCTGAAGAAGATACACAGATGGCCAATGAGCACATGGAAACATGCTCAACATCACTGGTGATTAAGGAAATGCAAGTAAAACTAGAGTGAAATACAATTTCACATCCACTAGGATGGCCCCTATCAACAAAACATTGTTTGGAAATTAGAAGATACCCAAATGCCCAACAAATGGACACTGACTAGATAAATAAACTACAGTATTTCCTAATAATAGAATGCAATGGTTTTTTAATAATAGCGTTTGCAAAGAAAAATGACTTTGATAGATGTTCAAACAGACTATGAGATCTTATTTCTGGAAGAAAAAGGGTACTGTTTCTAAATGGAAAATATACACATATATATAATGTTACTGGCTGCTTCTGGGTAGTGCAGGGATGGGTGTATTTAGGGAGGGTTGTGTTCTTGTTTGTTTTAAGTTTACTTATTTCTTCCATGAGAGAAAGAGGTAAGGAGACTAATACCCCAAATACCCCTGATGATCCACCCCCAGCCTTAGTGTACAGGGAGTCCCAGGGACATGAACCCTGAACTTCCCTTGTGGGTCCAGCATCACAGAGCATGTTACCACTGCATCACCGTCTGGTCCCTTGTATTTACTGATATTTCCAAAATCTATAATAAACACATGTTATGCCATAAGAACACTTTTTTTTTTTATTTAACTTCGTGCAAGTCCTCAGTAGCAGTGGTTGAGTGTCCTCTAGAAATGCTGATTCAGATCATTGCTTGTTTCTTTCTTTTACTTCACATCCACTTGTGCTAGTTAGCTTACAGCCTAGGTCATCCGGGCGAGGTTGTGGGTACCTTTTGCACCATCCCTGAGTTTCCAAAATGAGAACATAATCTTTCTAACCAAAATTATATTTTGTCTGTGTTTTTCATCAAGGTGGATCCAACAGAAGAGAAAGGGGTGCGCCGCCTCTTCCTCCCATCCCAAGGTGATCTTTGCCTGCTCTTCCATACCCAGGCTCAAGAGCTGCTTCTGTGTTGCTGTCCAAGAATTACACATCTTCCTCCCCTTTTCTTCCTTTGTCCCCTTCCTATTGAAGGAGAGAAGAAGGTAGAGTGAGGTGGGAATACGTGTGCATAGGAGTGGGACTCTGGTGAAGAAATGCACCTAGCTTCTTATATTGTGTATATTCTCAAAGCTAATGCTTGCTTCAGCCTGCCAGTGTTGGCTGCTGGGGGTCGATAGGCTTTTGTGGCAAGTAGACAGAAATGAATTGTATCCCAGCTTTCAACCATCCAAATGCAAAGATTCACTGCTTATTTGCTACAGACTATAATTATCCAAGTCCTCAAGAGCTGTTTTCTTCCACGCCTTTCTCCTATGCTTGGCCTCTTGTCTGTTTCCATGAACCACAGATCACCTAAGCAAGTTGCTGAGCAAGAGCTCACATGAAACTTCTGCGGCTATAGGATGTCCAGTATTTGGCAGTCTGAAGTAGGCTGTAGGACTGAGCTCTCCAATGGAAATATAATGTGAGCCCCCTAGACAAGTTCAAAATTTCTTGTAGAAACATTGTTTTAAAACGGTAAAAAGAAGCAGATGAAATGAATTGTAATATATTTTATTTAACCCAATGCATCCAAAATATTGTCATTTCAACCTGCAATCAAGATAAAAAGTACTGAGGTATTTTCCATTCTCTTTTTTCTTTGGAAATAAGTCGTCAAAATCCAGTCGTCTGTTTTACACTTACAGCACATCTTGATTTGGACTGGACACATTTCAGTAGCTCAATAGCCATTTGTGGTTGTTGGCTGCCATCTTGGACAATACCAGTCTAGAAGATGGAAACTAATGTAAAAATTTCTTGCTCTAAAAACAAAACAGGCACAACAAGCTTTAACAACTCAAGGTAACAAAATGAAGTTAAAGCCCAACATTCTGTTCAGCAGACAGTTTGACCTTAGATTTTTGTGTCCTTAGTTTCCCTCTTCCCTTAATATCTGTGCACAAGTGTTGCTTCACCATACCGAGATCAGAAAGTGATCTAATACAGTTTACATTCACATGGAATAAAGCCATTGGAAAGAAACTGAAAGCCTGCTGGGGCTTTGGGGCCCAGAACCAGCTGGCTGTGTGCTCGCTTGTCAGCTGGACTCCTGCCTGCTTCCTGGATCTGAGGCTGCCTTTGTTTTTTCTCGGCCTAGCAAGCTCCTCAGGGCCAGGAGAGGCTAATAAGGCCTGGCAGGAAAGGAAGAAAGTCAAATCAGAAACATGGAGGAAGGGAATAGATTTGAGTTGATGGGCAAAACTCTAAGACACGAAAACCGATGCTTAAGGGGCAGGAAATTCCCAGTAGAAATTGAGGGGCATTTGTTTTGACTCTGTACATAGAAATCATTTAGATCTATGCAAATACAGCTCCACTAAAGGACCATAGGGAAGAGCCAGTCAGCCTTGCCTTTTTTATACAATTTTGTTTACAAAGTTTTACTGGGACTTTTAAATCTAGCTCTAGAATTTGAGGGGGGAAATTCCATTTAGATGTTTTTATATGGTTGATCATGTTTAAAATTATCATTACTTATTTTTTAAAAGCATACAGCCATGTATGTATATATCTACCTAAACTTTGTATTATGGTTTCAATGTATTATTCATGTATTACTAGGAGATGCTAACAAGGATCAATCCAAAGAAAAATTTGAAAAAGCATTTCTATTTATAGAATAAATAATTGTGTCATTTATAGAAAAGCAAAAGAACTTAGAGTTCTAATAAATGGGATGTCTAATAAATTATAAAGTTACTGATTTGAATATATTGTATTTTTATAACTTTCCTTGCCAAAGTACTGTGCTTAATTGGTACATTAAAAAACTTGTTTTTTCCTCTGTCTTCTTTCATTCATCTGTCTCCCATATAGTCATTGAAGTTCTTTATCCAAATAGAATCAAGAAATATGAAGATGTAACAAGCTTGGCAAAGTGTTTTTTAATTTTTTTTAGGTTTTTGCCATAGGGCGAGTGCACTCACCAGAGAAAGACAGAGAGGTGCAGAGAGACAGAAAGAGGGAAAGTGACGAATCACCGCCCCCCTCCCCGGGCTCGGGGGCGTAGCCACATCACAGTCTCTTCTCCATTCTCCTCTTGGGATTTCAGGCATGCAGGCGCACAAGCCCAGTGTGATTTTCAAGCTACCAGGTTCAAGACTCAAACTGTAGTCAACCATATGGGAGTCCAGTGTCTTAACCACCACACTACCTGGCCCCCTTGGCAAAGTTGTGGTTTTTTGTTTTGTTTGTTTGTTTGTTTTAGAGAAATTTTTTTTATAGGTACACTGCCCAGAGAGACAGAGGAAAGTGAGAAATCAACTCGCCCGCTTCGACCCCGCCCCCCTCCTCGCCCCCCAGTGCCGCACCAAGAGGCATGGCCATACTACAGTCCCTTCTCCTTCATTCTCCCTGGATTTGGGGCACACATGCACACATGCCATGTGTGATTTTCAAGCCTCTGGGTCCAGGACTCAAATCACTGTTGGCCATGTGGGAGTCCAGTGCCTTAATCACTACGCCACCTGCTGGCCTTGGCAAAGTATTTTTCAATTTTTTTTTTTATCTCTAACATTTTGGTAATTTAGGAACATCGTTTTATTTTGGATTATTTGACTTGATGTCAAAAGGAATAAACATCCCTATGATAAAGCCTAATTACTCACATCACAAAAAATAGAACTGGGCCTTCCTAGCAAGCATGGTGGAAAAAAATCTGACCCAGAGAGTGCGGGTCTGGATTTCATAAGAGGTAGTGAGAATAGGGTAATCTCCTCGTATATCTCAACTTTGCAAGTACCACTCCGAAGTTTGAAACAGGGTCACAGCTCATAGTTGCCATTTATCTAGAATAGAGATGTTTTAGGATGTATTTTTAAGTGACTGTTTCGTGAATACACCTACACCCTTTCTTTGAAAGTTAGCAACCTAATTGCATCCCAAACTTTTAATAAGTTTTATGCTAAAATTTTCAACTATGGCAAATCACAGAAATGAGTACCTTCTTCTCTGAAATCAGAGCGTACGTGTATGTTTTCCCCGTAAAATTTTCATATAAATATAGTCAAGATGCAATACAGTATTTTCACATTCGATTGAAGTGCATTACAGTATTAAAATTCAGTGTTTCGTATTTCTTTCACTATGCATTTTACTTTGCAGAAGCTCAGAAAAATGTTTAATCCAATGGTGCCTTACTTTGTGATTTGAAAAGAAATCAACGTTTTATGTCTAGGTAGCAGATTATTTGCATATTTGTAAAAATCGTTAGGTCTTTATATTTTAACTTGTAATACAAATTTTGTTATTTTAGGAGCAGAAATGGGATGATTGTTAAATGCCCCCAAATTTTGGGCATGATACTAATTTTTTTCAGTTTATGGTCAGGGACTGTAAGGGAAGAATAAAAATTTTTTTCTTATTGCACTATGTAAACAAACATGTTTCGATATCTATGTCATCAGAATAGTTTAAATGTAGGGTAGTGTCTACCCTAGACATCTGCGCTTTTGTAAGTTAGCCAGACAATAAATAAAAGCAGAATGATATGGTGTCAACTGGTGGTTTTTCTTTAAGTATTGTCTGTATAAATATATATTTTTTAAGTGACTTTCTGTTTTGTACTGTGGTAAAGAAAGACAAACTCCAAAAAAAAAAAAAAAGAAAGAAAGAGAGAGAGAGAGAGAAAGAAGAGGTATGTGTAGTTACTCACCTGTTTGTTTTTCCTGAGCTGCTGCATCTAGTCAAAAATCTGTTTACCTGAGGCAGGTGTTTCTACTCTGAGATAGAGATGGGTAATGGAGGCAATGAAAGCTGAAATTACACCTGGACACAGGTACATGTGAGACAGGCCACTGAAAATTTAGGAAACCTGATAATATTTTAAATTTCCTGCTCCGTATGTGCATATGTAAGGTACTTCAAAAGTTCATGGGACTGAAGTAAAAGCTTGTTTTGGTGTAAAATAAGTTTGCAATCCATGCATAGTTTTTTCATAATACACATGTTCTATGAACTTTTTGAAGATGCCTCATACTTTTCTCAGTATGAGCACCATGGTTAAGAGCTGGGAAGGCCTAGCTCTGTCTCTCGCTTACAGGTTGCCTCTTTAAACCTGTTTCATTATCTATAAAGTGAGAAACCTTCTTACAGCATAATATATGCATTAAATAAGGTCATGGACTTAGCACTTGGCCCAGCTTAACTGGACACACTCGATAAGTGGGAGCCACAAAAAAAAACTTTTAGAATTATTTATCTAGTTTTATTTATCATTATTATTATTGTCACTTGATTTGCTACAGAGCACAGTGAGAAAGCAAGCCATGAGGTCCAGGACTCAAACTGCAGTCTGCCTTGTGGGAGTTCAGCACCTTAATCATCATGGCACCTGTTGGCCCTACTAGCCACTATTGGTATAAATTAGGAAACAAAATACTCATTTAGTGATCCCAAATTACCTGGAATCAAACTAAGTAAGAGGGAATTTACTAGTGGACATCTAAAGGAAAGGAGCACTAGAAGAAAAAATGCCCTTATTAGAAGTCAAAGGCAACGTCTGGACAAGGACTGCCTCGTGTGCTGTCACAGGCCTGGAAAATGGAAATTTGTGTTGCTTCAGTCAGCAAAGAAATGTTATTAGGTTCAATTTAAAATCACAGGAACAAAAAGCCAGAAAGAACTTTGTAGAGAGGACAGCCTCACGTGGTCCACAGTGGAGCGTATCTGAGCATGGAAGGGGTGCCAGTGATAGTGGCTTTGGCACAGCAGTTGTAAATTGGGGCTGCCCTGGCAGACTGGGCCATGTGGTCACCCAGTCAGAGGTCATCTAGTCCAGCCCTCTTACAGATAGGCAATTACAAATGGGCAATTACAGATGGGCATATTTTTTTTTGAGAGGTTTTCGCTATAGGGCGCGTGCACTCGCCTGACAGACAGAGAGAGACAGAGAGACAGAAAGCGAGAAATCACCCCCCCAGGGGGGATGGCCACGCTGCTCCCTTCTCCTTGATTCTCCTCTCGGGATCTTGGGCACACATGCACACGTCCCCAGCGTGAGTTTTAAGCCACCGGGTCCAGGACACGAACCACGGTCGACTACGTGGGAGTCCAGCGACATAGCCATTATGCTAACTGCTGGTCCCACAGATGGGCAATTTAAGGCCTCAAATGAAATACTACTGGTGAACAAGCAGTGTGACTTTTCTCCACACCACATTCTGGTATCTGTAATCCTCCTACCTCTATCTGTCACTGTTCCCTGTGTCTTTCACATTCGCCGAAAAGAAGAAGCCATTTGAGAGGTGTAAGAGTCAGAGAAAAAGTGGCTCTGGGACCAGCAGTTAGCATAATGGCTATGTCGCTGAACTCCCATGTAGTCGACCGTGGTTCAAGTCCTGGTCCTGGTGGCTTAAACGCACGCTGGATGCGTGTGTGTGCGTGCCCAAGATCCCGAGAGGAGAATGGAGAAGGGATTGCGGCATGGCCACCCACCTTGGGGGCATGATTTTTTGCTTTCTGTCTCTCTGTCTCTCTCTGTCTGTCTGGTGAGCACACGTGCCCTTTAGCAAAAACCTCTCCAAAAAAAAAAAAAGTGGCTCTGCCATTTGTTCCCTGTGAGGCTAAAGACAAGATGAGCTCTCTGAGCTCTAAATTTTCTCTACTGCAAAATGGTAATGGAGCTTAGATCCACAAACATCAGGCGATATCCGGCATGTGTTAGCCATGCTGTGAAAGTTACCTCCATTTTGTTTCTTAATCTTTATGCCATCAGATCTAGGCTATAATCAGGAAAAGAATTCCGAACATGATCAAAAATGTCTGACAAACTTCACTTGCAAGCCCAACCTAGGTAGCGCAGTCCATAGCGTGCTGGACTGCGATGCTCAAAGTCACTTGGGGTTGGAACACGAGCGGGGAGCACATACCCAAGATCCTGATGAGCTGGGGGGCTACAGAAAGGGGGCCCTATCAAGGGTGTCTCTTTCTCTCTCATGCATTCCCTATCATAAAACAAACCAAAAAAATTGATTTATAGTATCTTTAAGAATAAAAACTGTTTTCAAAACTGGTCTTGTGTGTTCAAACTGGAATCATTTATTTGGTTCACTTGTCCTTTCAATAATTCTTGATTGAGTACTTACTTTCCCGCCATCACGCTGGCATCCCAGCCGTTACTGGGTTGGTCCAGTCTGTGAGTAGCAGTTAAAGAGGTCAGCACCATTCTCACCAAGCGTGGATGCAGCTTCTCACCCAGGCGACAAAGGGCTTTCCATCCAGAGAAAAGTGAATACCTTATCCCACACTACCCCCTTAACTAACTTTTTTTTTTCTTTAAAAAAAATTTTAAGCCTACAGAAAATTGGAGTGGGGGGGGACCTAATCTCATAGAACATACATGTTCACACACAAAGGAGTAAGAAAAGCTGGAATCCTGGGTGTCCCCATGGACCTGGCATGGTTTTCAGGCCTACCTGGGATCTGTACCATAGTCACCATGTGGCTTCCAGCATGACAGGGTGTTAGCTTTATTGCTGCACCAGTGGCTGAGCCAAGGTTTTTTTTTTCCTTAAACAAGTTCTGGCAAGTTTATTAAAGAAAGAATTTTCATAGCTCACTGTCTCCCAGTCTGTGCTGGTAAATCCTTCTAATGATAACAGAATCACCTAGATCTTTGACTGCCAGTGTACATACTCCATAGTGCATTTCACATGCTATGCCGGGTTCAGTAGTTTTGCCACTGTAGTAGTGAACACCAGGTTTAGCCAACACGGTGTAGTACTCTATTTCAGATTCCTGACAGCTAGTCATTGGTGAGGATGATCAATTTTGCTTCGCCTTGCTCAA